GTGTGGTGCTTTGCTGCACAGTGATGACACACTGTCAGAGAAAACACAGATTTCTTTTTGTGGGGGGAAAGAATCAAGACAGACTAACAAAAACAAATAACACGATTTTGGGGAAGAATAAGTTGAAAGGAATGAATAGGAATAACAATAGGGATTGTAGGCAAGGGTAAGTAGGAAAGAATTGGATGCAACTTACAAGAAAAGAGACTAGCTAGCAACAGACTAGCTGGCAAGCCAGAGCCTTTCAGATGCTGCTGCTCCAAGAGAGACACAGCTCACAAAAGTCACAGATCACTTCAGACACATCTTTATATGTTGTTTCTACATCCCTCCCCCAGAGCACTGTGATTGGAAGGGAACTCAGAGAAAGATCACAGTCACTGGCCAGCTACAGATGTCAATATCAGAGCAGTCTTCCCCTCCCACCCCCAGCCTTTTCCATATATGGAAGAACACCCCATCCTCCTCCCTCTTCTCAGTTTCTGTGTGCTGCAAGCCTTCCGAATTTCTCTGAACCTCCCTGAATTGATTCAGAGGCTTCCGATTCAATTTGGACCTTTTAATAGGTCTCCTGATTTGACTTGGATTTGGAGATTTGTCTGCCAAATCGAGCTGAATCTCCTCCAAATTGAATCAGCTACCGAAGCTTCATACAGCCCTAGTCTTTAGTGTGATGAATATTGTGTTAACACGCCAAGAGAGCACATCAAGCCATAGGCTGAAAAGGCTACAGCTCTGTTAGAGCCCTGCTCAATAACCACTTTCTGGCAAAGCTTGTAGTAGATTTTAATAAAACAAGTCAGGGAGTGTTCCCACTTCTTTTTGAGAAATATAACTGCTGAACTAAACAGTTTTATCACCACCCTACACAGAGGTCTGGAAGGATTTGGAATGCAGTTTGTAACCATGTTAGAAATGGACACTCACACCGGAAGCTGGATCCTAACCTAGCATTAATTAGCAAAGCTTCATTGATTTTAATAGAGCTATACCCATTTATGACAGCTCAAGGTCTAGCATTGTAATTACACTAGTAGTTTTCTTAAATTTTCCATTAGCGTGACTCCACTGCTGGTAGAAACAATCCAACTGCATTTAAAACACTAGCTCTGCAAAATGTACTCAAGGTCCAAATATGTTAGATCAATACTATGTATAACTCTTGTAACTCTCTTTAAAAATGGTTTCCAATGGGCTAGCCTTACTGGCATTTGCATGCAAGTGGTCTAACACATGATGACGTCTGGCTTCTTCAGTATTGTGCATATTTTGAGCCTGGTTTGATGGGTATAGATTTGCAGTTGTTGTCTCCTTGTCCCATGACCCTGTGGATGGCTTCCTTTGCATTATCTTATTAAATTTGGGTGCTAAGGACTCATCATAGGAAGGGAATTATAAACTGACTGGTATAATGTTCAGTTTTTCCATGATGCAACATTTTCCTTTTTAACTCTTCCCCAAGACCTAGAGGAACTAAGTATAATACAGAATATAATATAACCCTATGATAAATTTGGACAGTTGATACAACTTCTTTCAATGTGTTAGACTCATAGATCCCCAGTGGATATAGTCTCTGGTAGAGATATAATCAAAATGATCAAATATCCTTTTAAATTTTCCCCCACTATCATTCCTATTGATGGATGTAGTATACAGGATAGTTGGCTCATTGTCTCCTATTCCAAAGACCAAGTTATAAGATAGTATTGATTTTTAGGCACTTGCACTTATTTTAGCTGTTAGCTTCAAAGCAATAACTATACAGTTACTTTTTACAACATGCCTGATTGTTTTTCCTTCTACAGCTCTCAAGTTGCTACTGTATGTACCTGGATCTAAGATAACTCTAAATTTAAGACAAACCTCCAATAATTAGATTCCATACATGGGAAATTTATACCTTTAGTACAATTTTCTATGTACAGAATCTAATTATTGGATGATCATCTTAAATTCATCCCCTCCCCACACCGCTGCAGGAGGGTAAGTGGTGGGGGGCAGATGGTGGGAGAGGCAGTGGGGGGCAGGTCATGCATGAAGTGGTAGAGGGGGCAGCAATGGGGGAGTGAAACAGCTTGACCCCTGCCCCTTGTCCCCCTGTTGTCTGTCCTCCCACCACTTGCCCCCGCTCTGCTGCCAGCCCCCAGGTCCTATGTGCCCCAGCATCTACCCCCCTCCACAGTGCCTGCCCACCCAGCATCTGTTTTCCTTACCCCCCTGCTATTCCTTCTTCTGACACCTGTCCTCCCCAGTGCCCCTACTTCCACCCCTCACTACCTCTCCCCACCATCTCAGCTCCCTTGCCACCACTGACCCTCTGGTTTTAGCTCCAGAATGTCTACAGTCCTGCCCTGGCCTGGGGCATGGAGCATGTGGTTGCTCCAGCACCAGCCTGGCTATGCAGCCATTGCTGCAGTGGTAGCAGCTCCAGCCAAGCTCCAGAGCCAGAGCCACTTCCACTCCTGTCACTGCTACCGGGCTGGGCTGGGGACAGCACAACCACATGCTCTGCACCCCAGACTGTAGTGGGGCCAGAGCCATGCTGAAAGGTAAGCAGTGAGGGGGAGAGGAAACGGAAGGCAGGCAGGGAGGGAAATGTGGGAGCAGAGTGGGTGAAGAGGAGATGGCATGAGGGGGCAAGACAGGGGAGCAGAGGTGGCATGTGGGGGGGGGGAAGGGAGGCAGCAGCTAGAGCTGTGGTTGCAGCTCTGACTCCAAGTCAGGGCCAGTGTTGGAACTGCAGCAGTCACCCACTCCCCTGCTGCCTTGCACTCCAATGAAGGGCTTTTCTCCAATGTTAAAGGAGAGGGCAGCGAACCTCATCTTGGATTCAAGTAAATACAGTAATAGCAAAACCAGGATGGCAGTTATGCAACTGGAATAATAACAGCATTGATATTGACCCCTTACAGTGTAATAACACTCAATTTCCCACTCATCTCCTGGTTAGTGTCAGCCTTTCCATATATATCATATTCTGTGCCTTTAATCTCCTCCCTAGTGATGTCACCCCTAGTGGGTTACTTCTTGACATAATTTCACCACCAGGCATGTCTTACTGAGAAAAGACCGGCTTATGGAGAAGCAGAAACTCTGAAGACAGAATAGAAGTCACTCTGCAGGTGGGTCTGGGTGGGCCCACTGACAGAGAAACTTCACCTTTCCTTCCCATCTGGACTTGGTGATGATCTCTTACTCTCTGAGAAGGTGATGCTTCCAGTAGTAAATAGTGGGATAGACACTGTCTCCCTGCATGGGCTTGAGATCTCTCAGAAGAGGTGCTGGAGGCTACAGGGAGAGCTAACAAAGCAGATGAGACACCCTATGGCAAAGTGCAGAGATGCAGGCAGCTAAAATGAAGGCAACATGTGTGGATCAGAACTGCTCATGTGGTGCCCATTGTGGAGGGAAGCATGGAAGACTGTCCTAGGAAAGAAGGAAGAAAATCTGAAAGCAGGGCAAGGAAGAGGTAGAGGAAACACTGGCAATAGTGAAAGGAGGAGAAGAAAGTTTACGTGGTAGCATCTGTTGTATGGCAAAGTAAACTTGTAAGGTAAAAGCTTCAAACAAGCACTAAAAGGGCCAGGCTCTGGTGCCTGGAGATAAGTAATGAGCATATCTTGCATTTTGAAGCTGAAGTTCATGATGCTACTCTCTTTTGGTCATGCACAGAAGAATATTCGCAGGACAATATATCAGGTAGAATCTGGTTGGAGAGAATTAATTTACAGAGTCTTCTTCAATGCCTTGATTTTTCCTGAATGTGTAGCACGCTCAGTGAAATGATACTCACAGGGCCTTCACACCTCATGCTGCTCTTCTGGAAATGCTCTCTCCTCTGGTGTGAAGAGAAACCTTTAAAATGAAAAGGGGGTTCCCCCTTTCAAAGGCTTGTTTTTTGTATGGGAATTGGTAGGATACCTGTTTCTGAATGAGCTCCTGGCCCTTTTCTGGGTGCATCTGTACCAAGTTCAGCTGAGGAGATACCGATCTCCGGAAAGGATAAATATCACGAACATAGGTCTGCAAGGAGAAGAAATCGTAAAATTTACTTTATGAGAATGGATTTGTAATAACAGCAGCAATAAAGAAAAGGCTTTTCAGCAGGGAGTAGTGACTTGGCATGGATACAATAAGAATGCCCCATTCCCTGCATAAAATCCTTTAGACTTTTGCTATTCCATCTATGCCAAAGCAAAATGATTTTGAGAGTCTAAAATACTTGAGTAGGATCCTTCCATTATGGCAAAAAGGTTGCATAAGAACCTGAGCAGAATGGAATACAGATTTGCTTCTCTGCCCAGCTACACTTTAGAAATATTTGAAATGACGGTTTCCACATCACCTTCCTTTGAGAATGTTAGAACCTGCAATATCCAGAGCCTACAGCTGGATTCCAAAAATGACAGCGCCACATGCCAGGACAATGGCTACACATAACCCTCTCACCATGCTTTGGCCACCCCTAACATCTAGGATGGCTTGCCAAAAAGAACAACATCACCTGGGCTAGGCCCTTTGCCTCACCTTGTTGTAATGAATAAGGTTCCATCGTTTATCCATTAAAAAATAATGAGAAGACTGAGTTTCAGGTATATTAAAAAATTCCAAGCACTCCTAAGGAGGGAAGAAAGAAAAACCACCTCATTATTCATTAACTATGTTATACAGCAAATTTTATAAGCATCATTAAAGGGGACTGATCCCATATACTTTAGGCAGACACACAGTTCTTCCATTTAATTCTCCCCCCACACACATTTTACAAGTATATAAATATATTTTCACTGCTTCCAGAATGTTGTGGGCTCTAGGACTGACACTATCTGTATTTATCTCCAGAAGCTGCCTCCATGCCAGAAGCATGGCAGCAGCCAGAAGTTGTCACTCTCCCCCCATGTTTTGCAGATGCTCTGGGTGCCCAGCTGCTTTGTTACACTTCTGTTACTAGCTGTTATTTGTTGGGACTATTTGAAGGGTGTTACATGGCAATGGAATCTTCTATAAGTCTCAAGATGGGATCCCACTTTATCAATTCGTCCCTCTTCAATGGTTTTTGCAGTAGCGATCCTCTTGTTTAGGGTAAAAAAGGCTGTCAACGCAGTTTCCAGCTCACAGAAATAGAAAGGTTCTTAAGAACCTATTTCTACTGCACAGATGTAATAGGAAACTATAGCTGAAGGAATCATTAAAGAGCTTTGCTAGTTAAAAAAACTCATTCCCACCTTCAGAAGAGCTTCAAATTGTGTGTCCTCATGTACAGGTAGCTGGGTTGGGATGTCACATTCATTCTGCCCATGCACTACCAAGGTCTTTGTGCCTACAGGAAAGAAGAGCATTTATTTTTCTCTCCCCCCACATACTAACGTCATAAGCTATTTCAAAGAAACTTCTAACTGAGGAAAGGCAACAAGTGAAATCACTCACTGGCAGAAAGCCAACACAAGTCCCATTTGGAACCCACTGCACAAACCTAGAATAAATATATAATTTCCATGTAATGAGAATTGATCTTTTCTAGAGGATTAAATTGGCTCTAACTGTAACAGTTACTCCAAGGAAAAAAGGTATCTAAAAAGACAAATCTGTTTTTCACAGAACAATCTCTTGCCTGGCTCATATGCCTTATTGTTACCTCCAGGCATTGCCAAGATTTAAACTGGAGGGCACCTCGAGTTGAACTGCTTTTGAATGGCAAAGCCTTACAATGATCAGACTCAGAAGCCCTGGAGGCTTGAATAACATAAGTCTCACTATTGAACAGATTGTTCTGATTTCAGCCTTTGTTTAGTTGCCAACAAAGCTCTGTTTGACTGTTTAAGAATCAACATGGAAATTAAGAGTCCAAAATTCAAGGACGATTGGCTTAAATATCATTTAAATTTGGCCACACTGATAAATCTCGAACTGGCAAACCTATATTTTTGTGGCATAGGAACAAGAAACAAAATTGCAAATATGGAAAAAACTAAAAGATCTTCAAGTTCAAAGGCCGTGAATGTCCATACCTGGCATTGAGGCAGTCACCAGCAGTTTTACTTCACACTGCTCCTTCTTCATAGTCTGCTTCAGATCTTTGAAGAACAGGCCCTCTACATAACCCACCACTTCCCACAGGAAGGTCAGAGTTGCTGAAATGGCATCCATGCCCCATTCGCATGGGGTACGTACAAAATACATTATCAGTCCCACCTGCACAGCACAGAGGAAAAGGTAGCATTTCAGCTGCCATTTTCTGCATATCACACTGTTTTTATTGCATTATTCCTGTGTTAGCCAATGCTGTATTACAGAGTCAACATTAGACCCTACTGGTCTGGTGAGCCATTGTGCTATGATCAACTGAAGTCAAATATGTTGATCAGCTGCATGTAGTAACTTTGTTATTTGTACTATAGCCTAGGAGCCCCAGTCATGGACTAAGGACCCCACTGTAGGATGTACTGTGCAAACCCAGGACAGAGAGGGATCCTCTAGCACTTTTCTTCACTCTGAGAAGGCTCAGAGCCTGAAAAATTCAGGTCACTTCACATATTCACACCCATTGCAAACCTGTAAACTTTTTGCCTTCTTTTGTTTTGGGTAATGGGTGTCACTCATGCAGTTACTAATTCAAAACAACTTGAAGAACAGTTCAGCACTGAGCAGATGGGTGACTAGGGAGAAAGCTGCTTGGTCCATAGCATCCTAGCCCCATGGGTTAAGGGTAAAAGAAAGAGACATGTAGCAATGGTTGTGTAAGTCCTGTCCTTCAAGGCTCCCTGTGCAGTACTAGGCAGGGAATTCAAATGGAAAAGAGTTGCAAGTTGTATGGCCTGTCACATCTAAGCTCCCCAGCAGGACTGCAGCAACCGTGCTGCCCAAGGTTCATATACAGCCAGAAGGGTGTGTAACAAGAAGCCTCTTCTTGCCAGCACCCCCCATTTTGTGCATTTCTTTTTTCTTCTGAGTATTGGCAGAGACCTAGCACCCTCATTGAGGGGTGTGGAAAGGGTCAGAACAAGCCAGAAAGCTGAAGGGGCTTTCTGTAGGAGAAACCTAGAAACTACATCTACATATAAATTAAGCTCAGTGACTCTAAAGAAAACTAAAGAACTAAACTATCCACTTCAAAGACTGTAAATATATCCTGGTGCTAACCTAACTCACTTACTGTCCCCAGTAGCCTTTGATCCTCACTACCTCACATTGCATTTTTATATATTTCTCACAGTGCATTTTTATATTTCATCTGTCTATCTTTACCCTGGCATTCAGTATTTTATATTTTATATACCTTCTAACTTTTAACAAACATATTTTACTTTAAAGTAAAGTTATGCTTTGTATTACTAGAACTATTATTGTAAGAACGCGTTGGAATTGTAATCACTGGAATTTGTATTGCTGTATTGGGCTGGTCCCCCTGAGTGAATGCGAGTATGTATGAATCAGATAATTGAAGACAAAGCAAAAGACTCTGGCTGTTAATTAACAATAGCCTAGCCAAAGGAACTTACCATTACAAAACTGTACTCTACAAGCCATTTTAGGCTTATCAAGCCAAGGAACTGAGCACCCACCCTATTGACTATTCCTGCAATCCTTAACAATAACATTGTTAAATTAATCAAAATCACAAACTGACTCCCAGAACTGCACGTACCGGCAGGCAAGACCCCTGTGACTAACAGCTGTCAAGTACTGCTCAAAACCCATGTGGGACAGTGTCCTCTGGATTTGGCAGCCAAGATGATGCTGGGGAATCACACAAGTCTGCCAGAAAGGGATAAAAGGCAGTGAAGTGTGACCCTCAGTGATGCCCTCTTATTCAGCACCTGACCTACCAAGGCAGAAGGACAAGCAGGCAACCTGTACAGGAAGGACAGAACAGGAAGGAAAGGTGGGGGTGTGGCACTCTATATCAAAGAACAATTCACTTCCTTAACGAGCAGCACTGGGTCAGACGAGGAGCAGACTGAAGTGCTCTGGGTCAGAATACAAGGGGGTCAGGGGGAAAAGGACTACCACAGACCACCCAACCAGGGAGAAGAACTAGACCAGGAATTCTCAGCTCGTGGAGGCAATTAAGTCAAAGGATGTGGTCATCATGGGTGACCTAAACTATCCGGACATTTGCTGGGAAGAGCAGTCAGCCAGGTCTGACCATTCACGTAGATTCCTAGCCGTGTTACAGGACCTCCATCTAACCCAGGAGGTGCACAGTCCCACCAGGGGAAATTCCTTGTTAGATCTGGTCCTGGCCACAAACGACGACCTGGTGAGGGGACTGCAGGTGCTTGATCACCTGGGGAATAGCAATCATCACCTACTGGAATTCACCATCCAGAGCAGGGTGACAAAGGCCTGCAGTAAGACAGCAGCCCTGGACTTCAGGAAGGTGGATTTCATTGAGCTAAGGAGACTACTTGGGGAGGCACTGAGGTCCTGGAGGGGTGTGGAGGTGGGAGTCCAAGAAGAGTGGTAGTTCCTGAAGAAGACAATCCTCCAAGCCCAAAGGGTGGCAATCCCAGCAC